GCGAAAAATCCATTTTCTGTAAAGATTTGTGAAATTTAAACTTCCATTTTTTTAAATGGATATTATTATTATTTTTTTCTTAATTTTTACAATGAAAATAAATGAAATTAAAGTGAGTGATTACTTTAAAATATTTTTATGTATACCGATATACTGTATAAAGATACTGTATTGCAAAACTATAATTTTATCTTCAAGGTTCAACTTTATAAGAAAGAAATTTTATTTCTTTCCCAAAGGAATTTTACTTATATTTTTTTTATTTATTTCTTTTCCCATTTTGAGAAAGAAATAAAATAATTACAGTATTAGAGGAGGTTCGAGTTAGAAAAGAATGGAGGATTTTTCTAGAAATTTTTTCTTCTCTCATTTTTTTCCTAGATTAAAAACTATATATATAAAGATATAAATAAGAATAAAATCCTTGCAGAAATGGAGTCTTAAAGGCGAAATTATCCTTATGCAATATTTAATTTAAAACACGAATCAAATGTATATTTTTTTATATTTTCGCTAGAAAAAGAAATAAAAGCTTTTCCAAAGGCTAAAAATCATTATTTAAGATAATCAAATATATTATTTGTGGAAATCACATCAGTCTTTACTCTTGCTCGTACTGTCAAGGATAGAGACGTCCTGATCTGAATTATTTAACAGCACTTCTACAAAACTTTTCTATGGATTGAATTATTCTCTCTATACATATTGCAGGACATTATAGCATATTATTTGACATTAAAATTAAATATAACATCATTCAATAATATAAATAATAAAAAATGTATTCCAAATTATTTATTGATTTTTTAATAAAAATTTAATTTCTTTCATAAAGTCATATACCAAAAAAAAATCAAATATTAAAACAGATAGAAACTTTTATTATATTTTAAAATATTCAAATCTAAATATTTTAAATATTAAAGAAAGTATTTTTTTATTTTATTTATCGATCTCGTTATGTTAAATAATAAAATATAGGCAGAAGCATCCATAAAAATAGTTTGAAAATAAAGAGTATGATCAAATAGATGATGTTGCGAGTTTAATCAATTAGATATATTGAAGAAAACAGTAATACTTTTTGTATAAAATTGTCGTAGGTTTTTATGTTTTATTTCCGTGTAAATATCTATCAGCATTACGGAAATGCATAGCGGTAGGAGAGACATACAGACGGACGTCGTTCGTCACCATCCAACTTTAATAAAATCTATATTACCGTGCCTACCTCTCATAAAACAATTTTAAAACTCACATATAAGAGATTTTGAAGGTAGTACAATAACAGATGGCAAAGAGTGTAGTTTAAAGTTTACCTTGAATAATGTTACAGTAGATATCAGGAAGGTATACAACTGGCAGTTGAGGCGATCGATGGCTGACTCCTCCGCAATGTATAGTTACCATGACAACCAGGTCAAGTTACCCCAAATTCTGTAGGAACTTCGCAAACCAAGAATAAGAGGTGGATACCAAGCCAAAATATATTGGGAGATACCAAACACTCCAAACTTGCTTGTCAAAGCAGAGTTTTTTTCAGCTTGACTGATCAACACACCTTTTCGGTTTTGTCAAGCTTGTCAATATTTCAGCCATTCTATTGTTAGATCCTTCTATTTTATTCAGTTGCGGAGAAGCTTTAATTTCTTTTAAAATCTCTTACTATATTATAACTATTCCGATCCAAAATGGACTTGTCTAAATCTAGTTAATTGATTCCTTTCTCTATTTGGTAGGAGGGGAAAAAATTAAATTTTACTCGATTAAGTCAAAAGATACATTTATATATATTAGTTTAAATAATAGTAATGCCTAATATATTCTCAGGCACTTAAACTCTGTAATTTCGAATTAAAATAGTTATTATTTTATCTTATATCTGTAGGGGAAGACTGTAATTAATATTCTTTATTAAACATAATTAAGCTTGTTTAAAAAACAATGATAAAAATAACCTTTTCTTATATACTTAAATATAAAGTTTTACGGATGAAATAGAGCGAATTTTTAATTTCTGATTAGTGAATAAAAGCACAAATATTTTTATTATTTATATATTTTTTAAGAAGAAATTTGCTATTATTTATGAATTGCGAGAATTTATTTTCTTCCCCCTTTTTTAACTTCTCGAATATCCAATTTTGATTTGTTTTTCTGATGTTTCCACCTAATTATTTTCTTTTGTTGTATTGAATCTATATTGTTATATACGAAAATCTATTGCTTGAAAATGAATATGGGAGAAGGAAATAGCAGAATTTTGTTTTTATCTGTTAAATCCTCAAAAAATCCGACCAATTGAATGACTGATTCGACTCGGTTGCTGTGTGCTTATAAAAGCATCATATTTTCTAAACCATATTTACTTTATACAATATTTAAGTTTATGATCGAGATGGGAATAAACTTAAACTTTGCTTGTCTCTGTCTATCTTTTCAATAAATTACAATCAACACATGCTGCGCTAGACCATTAAAATCCGAAAATAAAAAGTGCACTTCTGGGAATGCTTTTTATCGTATTTATAATTGAATTTCATAAATCACAATAAATTTAAATTTGTTACTTTTACATAAATTTATAATTATTTTTAATATTAAGTTACTTACTTTAAAAAATATGATATAAAGAAAACTTATTTTCGAAAGTTCATTTTTTTTAATATTTTGTATACTTTTTTACATTTTTTTAGTTATGATAATGTGTTTTAATACATACATAATCTTTAATTGCTCAATATTGTACATAGGATATGTTATAGTGCCAGAATTATACGCATTTTCTGCATAAACGTTATAATGCCGCCATTTCCCGCAATTTTACTCTGTTGTTATACATTATTGTGATCTGCATATTATAATATTATATTGTACTGTGTAATCGCTACGATGTTCTGCTTTGTTCTGTATAAATATTGTAATGATGATCATATATTTATGTATAGTGTCTATACTGTATAAGGGTTGAATAAATGTTTAAATGCTTTCCTATTTTATGATTAGATGATGTAATTGTCGGAATTTTTGTATCTGCATGCTGTAATGTCACGTGTCTGTTGTGCATGTTGTAAATTTTTCGCAATTTGTGTATAAATTTCCTCTGCGTTTTCTGCAATGCGAGTTCTGATGTTCACAATTCCATCTTCTCTGCTTATAAAATTGATTTTATTACAATATTAAAAGCTTTTAATCATCAAAACACATTAATTCCCATTTCTATAATTATACTTGTCTAGTCATTGCCTAATAGTCCATTTCTATAATTATACTTGTCTAGTCATTGCCTAATAGTCCATTTCTATAATTATACTTTTAATCATTTAGATTAATCATTGTTTCCTTTATTACTCGAGTTTTATTATTACGTTGATCAGATATGACACTAACTCGATAAAATATATTCGAAATATTTAAATAAATTCAATTTTACAACCAGAAATTTTAAATCGAATTTCAAAGTCTTCATCGATTATAAAAATAGAACTTTTAAAAGTGATTTTTCTATGGAAAGGTCCTTTATTATGCATCTAATAGAATCTCCAACAGGTAGAGTTATATTAGTATAAATTAATATATTAAAAATTGAAGAATCTTGCATTCATTTAATTTCTGAATTTTTTCCACGAAAATTCGTTGACTCTTGGGGGAAAAGCACGGAAAAAACTGCCTTGTCTTAGAATTTTGGTACGTGAAACGGAATTAATTTACATAAGTTGATAAGGAACAATTTATAAAAGTGAATAGAATGGGAATATAGAAAACATTTTTGTATAGTTCTACACAAAGTTATAAAGTGAATGAGTAAACTTGGAACAAAAGTACTGAATTCGAAACCTTTTGAACAAGGGAAACATTTTTAATCGTAAAATTTAATTATCCCTTCAATTTTAATTGGTTGCAAAACTATCTTTAATTAAGATTACATTTTTTACGCCAAATTTTCTTTTCTAAAGTAATTTTACTTGACTTTTTGCATAGTTGCCAGTTTTACATTTAAAAGGGTTGAAAATTCAGTTTTACTCATTACCCCATGTGGAAGAAATTTCAGACTATGACATCGTTAATTGTCACGCAGAAAAGTTCAGAAAAGATTTGTATTTTTACTTTTCCACCCACTGGAATTTTCCGACACATTAGGCATGTCTAGCTAATTTCCTAAAGTTTCAGAGAATGACGACTCTCTTCATGTAAAGCTAATGTCGCGTACAACTTAAATAATGCCTCCTGTGATGTCTCACAGAAATGCCTGGCATCCAACAGCAACGTGTTGTCGCCGTTTTAATCGAGTTACATGGAGTCCTGTTGACTGCTATTCTACCTTTTGCCAGAATAGGTAGGGAATGGATCCTAACATCTTTTCAAACTGAGAAACAGTTCAATTTGCTATTATTGTCTCTTATGAAGATTAATCTTTTGGGAAGTAATTACGCAGCCTTATTTTAATTTTAATTAGTTCTATTAAAGGATACTGAGCTTCTCCTATTTGTTGTTTAATGTACTTAGTTAAATGACTTTGTTATAAAAATTTTTAATTGAAAATAATTGTACTGCTATTTAAATTATTTTGGGAAGTACGACCATCTGTGCCACCCTTTCGAGAAATAAAAACTGTGTAAAAATTTGATGAAATATTGCTAATTTTCGGGCCTCCCTGTAGAAAAGATCTTGGCCACATGTCGGATTCCACGCTGTTTTGTATACTTCTCATAAATAAATTTTCGCAAAAGTAATAAAAATGCGTTTCCACTTACATTATATTGTGCCAATAAAAAGAGTCGGGATGAGTATGAAATGTTGCTACTGTAGCAACAATTACTTTTATGAATTTTCCGCATCGACTACTTTACTAAAGAAATAAATAAAGCTAATAATAATATAAAAAAACAAGGAAAAAAGACCGATGGGGGAGACAAAATTTAACAGTATCTTTGCTTTTCTTCTGATTAACCAATTTTTAAGTAATTAAATAGTTTTTTAAGTGCAATTTTTTGTTTCAGAAATTGGTGAAAAGACACATTCATAATCTGGGAAGGCCTAAAGTTACTCGAATGAAGGTAAGTACACTTTTTTCTTCTTTTTAAAATTTTATTATGTAACCGCATAGTTAAATTGAAATCATCAGAAAAATACAGAAAAATTATTTCTATTTAATAAATACAATGTATTGAAAAATAAACTGGAAACTTTCTATGTAGCAAGTGATGCAATAAGGAATTTATCTTTATTGATAGGAAGTAAATGTGTCATGGTGAGTATCACAACAAATGATGAGTCATGTGCCATGAGTCATTGATTAAAAGAACATAACTGCAGCTGGAACATTTCATCACTTGTATTGTTGCTGTTTTCCTTTCTTCCAACGATCATCATCTTCAAAAAAACTTGGATAAGTCTTCTTTTATCGAGGTTGCACTTTGTATAGCGGTTGCATTCGTACAGCCGGATTTTCTACGCCTGTGTGAAAGAATGCTTTACCATCATTGTATTGTACCCCCACAAATTTCTGGATATTAAAAATTGCGATATTTAAGTTTTTGAAGGGACATTAAAGTCAGTGTAGAATGACTGTCTAGAATACTAATAATATAATTAGAAATAAGCTTCACCATTATTCAAGGAAATGTTTAACTGTTACATACCCCAAAGCCAACAACTAAATAGTCTACACGTTACACGAGCACGTTTGAAGACTGAAAAATAACAGGAAATGAGAGAGGACGTCGTGACAGATAGCTCCCTCGATAATTCAACATATTATGTAAAATAAGGAGACGATCGCGGCTGTAATAGCATTAAGCGAGTAATTCCGAAGTTTGGGTGTGTAATCTGGTTGTGTACACACACCGTCGTGTACTGGCTGCGGGCATTTCGTTCCCTTCTATAACGAGATCACCAAATATGTAGTGGACTGGAAATCGTGTAGGTCTAATATTACAAGACTCTAATATAAACAAGATTACTTTGACTCATAATCGTCAACATTTTAGATCTAATTATTCGATTTTTACGCCGTTGTGCTTTTTGAGATGTGGGGGCTCTTCTCTATTGTATTTATGCTTTCCGCGATATATGTACAGCTCACTTAAGCGTACACCACTTATTTGTACATGACGTAAGTAGATAGCGGCTACTGAGACCCTTTACCATTATGTAAATGCAGAAACTAGCGTAACGTAAAGTATTTATGCATATTGCCCAGTGCATAACTGTACAAGAGTTTCCATCGAGCAATTAAGCACTGTTTTCAATTAGTGCATTATCTTTTATCTATTTTATTCCGTTAATTTTATAAATTTCTCGATAAATTCAGTTCGTTCTTAATCACGAAACTGTATTGATAACAAGAATTTCTCCGTTGATTCGGTACTTTAAACAACTTGTAAAGATCACTTGTTAAATTACAAACAGCCAAATGTCAAAATTATTCTTGAGAAATATGATATAAAGAAGGCGAAATCTATATGTAGAAAGCTGTTTTTATTGATCTTTATAGAAAAAAGTTAACTATTATTGAATTACAGTTAATAAAATTATCCATCAAATTTTGCAAGATGAAACGAACGGATAATTTTATTAACTCTTCAAGAGCCCAATTAAACAAGTGAATTTTATCACAGTCTTCTACTCTCTGATCAATAACTCTTTCTATAATTATGAAAATTAGCTTTTAATTCGCTTTAAATTTATAAATTTATAATAATTTTTAATCCATTGTTAGATTTACCTTTACAATTATTTAGTAGCAAAGTACAACAAAACACCGTGTAACTTTTTTGACTGCATTATCGTGTAATTTTATTTAGATATTTTTATTGTTTGTTACATGATTAAATTATTTTTTTGTGATTTAATTATAATAGTTTATGTTACCTTAATTAAGTAGACAAATCTTTAAACATTTATAAATAATTAAATTTCTAGTCGGCATGTGTTAATGATGGGAGGAAACATTCCGATTTAATCATATTGATAACTTTGTAGCAGTGTTTGAAGTTTTGTCGATAAAATAAATTAGTCCTTTTTTCGTTTTTAAACATCTTTAGCTGCAACTTTCAAAATTATTATTTTAGTTACTAATAAGCTGCATTGTTAAAAAACCAAAATGCTGCAATACATAAAAAAAAAAAAAAAACAAAAGGATCTTAGATTAGTTAAGAACGACTCTTTGACAGCAAACGGATTGTCCCAGTCTATTGTTAGACATAAGACTTGGATGTGGCTTGTTAGGGTGACCACAAATCCTACCCTCTGGCTATATCATTATTTAAGGATCAGACATAGGTGACGAAACAAGGACTGATTAAATCTATCTGATTAATACGTTGCCCAATGGCCATATTCGTAACTTCGGTCCCGAAATCTGCTTATTTTCGGTTTATCTTTTGTTACAATAAAAGTAATACTTTTCTTACTATAATATAGTTAAGTCTCCAATCAGTAATTTTAATAAAATCGGTTTGTAACACGTTGAAACTAAATTTAAATTATCGATCAACTTCTATTTTTGAGAAAACTTTATTCATACATTAACAATGATTAGTAAATTTTAATAATAAAAGTTTCGCTGCTTGTTTCGCTGTTTGACGCAATTCGTAAAGTCAAGATAATTTATAAGGATTACAACCAACGTTAATAATTATTATACGTGTCAGAATCTATATTTAGTTTCCCATCTGAATTTAATTTCCATTTCTATAGTGAAGTCTACAATTTCGTTTAAGTAGTTATTACCCTGTCGAGAAATTGGACTGCGCGATTTAAAAAATTCAAAAGGGAGAAAAAAAATGCATGCCTAATAGAGAAATGAAAACAATTACCTTAGACGTTTTGCAACTTTTATAAAATTTCAATTAGTAAAATACATTTCGATAAAGCGCGTGTTTCCAAAAGCAACAGTCGCATTAGGCGGGAGCATCGAAGCAATTAGCCACCTTTAAAGACATTAAAGGGGAAAAAAGGCGGGTTTGGAGCCTTTTCCATTTTCAGAAAATGCCTTCAGAAAATAAGAAGACACGTTTGATTAATTTCTCGTGATGGATTTGAAAGCTTGGTGGTTCTATCTGTTAACATTATTGGGAAGGAGTTTAAAGATACATCAGTGTTTCAGTAATCCAGAGCAGTGTGTACATGGAATGTTGAACAAACATCGACAATGATTACAAGTACTTGTTAAATTGCTGGAATTTACAGTTGGATACACTTAACGTTAATTGCCGGAGATTTTAAACGAGTTACGTTGATGTAGAATATTTTTCTATTGTCGAACTTTCTTCTTCTCTACTTATGCGGGTATTTGTTCGATGTATTTCCAACTCCCTGTTTTTTCCTTCTTTAACATTTAAATTAGAATAAAAACTCGTTATTACAAGTAAGAAAAAAATTAACTGGGTGCTGTCTATCAAAGATCCATCTAATCATGGTTTATAGTGCTTCACTGCATATAATTTATTTTTTTCCCTTCAGCAAAGCTAGAAAATTATAAGTTAAAACTATTAACTGTAATTTTTAAATTAATTTTTTCAAATATATATTGCGTAAAACAGAAAAACTGGAATTGAAAATACTATTATTGTTAGTATTAAAATATCAAAGCGTATTCGCGAAATAATGGCATTTTATTAATTACACTTGCAGTACTGTTATTCAGTTTACGTAGAAAATAATTGAAGATAAGCTTGCAGCGTATTTTTACAGAAAAAGATAAGCAAAAAGTATCGGTATCTACCAAAAAGATCGCTGAGATAGGTATAAAATAGTATTTAGTATTATTGGTATATTAATATCTAGTAATTGTATTAGAATATTCGATAATTTGTAATGTTTGTTACATAATCACGATTGTATTTCGATGAAAACGCAGTATCTTATTCCCATATATCTTCTAGCATATTATCATGGCATCAATTGATAAATATTAATGTATCGATAACTATCATTTTATATTTATCATAAGGTATATCCTTTCATCAATCCGTTTATATCATACTAATTCACAGTATATACAATTATACTAAAAATAATTATATTAATATTAAAGACTATCTTCTTACACTTATCATTTTCACAGCTTTTGAAACAAATGATACCTATTACGATATGTCCTAATGCTAGTTCTATATTAGAATCGAATACTTTCAATGAAGACAATCGTATAACGGGGGTCAATATACAATATAAAAACTTGGATTGGATTGATGGAAGAAAGCAGCGTAACACTCGCGTGATCTTCCAAGGAGGGTGCCTTCCGGAAGGAGTTTCTATGGGAAACTGGGCCCTGTTTGGCTAGACACTTAAAGAAAACCCGGAAAACCACGTGGCCAACTCGTCGGTGAGACTCGAACCCCGAACCAGTGTTCAATGGTTTTATCCACTCGGCCACTGCACCAATATCAAGAATTATCACGGTATATTTAGTCTACATCAGTCCAGATCATAAGATTTATTCCATTCTCAGCGTATTTTTCTCGTTAAATAACATATAAACAATTCTTTATAATACAATACTGTGTATATTTTATATTAACATGTATTTAATAATTTGATATGTACAGTACAGTACATAAACCGGAATCGCACGGTACCGAATATTTTATCCAGTTTGTCTGGTTTCCGTTTTACTCAGGTTCCGTTTTGAATAGGTTTTATTGTATATTTTAGAGTAATTAAAATTTATATTACTGAGTTAATATATAATAACTGATCTTATAAAATTGAGATATAATATACCCAAAATATGAGAGAAAAAAGTTGAAGTGTTTATATATATATTTAGCTACAAATGAAATTTCTGTTAACTTTTGCTATCAGTTTACAATTATAAAATAGAGGAAAATAAGCAGTTTTTAAGTTTTTAAATATATAATTAATACGGTAAGGAAGTTGGCAGGTTAGAGGCAAATAATCCAAAGCTCTTTCTAATATGACACTTATTGCGCTTTCGTCTGCCATCGATTTACTGCTAACCCGTTCAATTTTTAATCATGTAAAAATAGTAAAATATTTATTCGGTAAGAAGTAGAAAATTCGGAAAGATAAAAAAAAGAAGAAGAAGAAG